TAAAAGAAAGAACACAAGATTTAACGTGGTTCAGATCAAAATAATCCTACGTCCACCAGAGAACAGTTGCCTTTTTAATATTAACAAAGGAAGAGGAGAGTTCCCAATTACACTTAAGAGAATTTCTCTCTTAACTCTCTACTCACTACAATGTGTTGTATTATTTTTGGGATGGTTTCTACAAATGAAGGAGTGCATCTATTTATAGAGGTAAAGACCTCCTCTTGATGTCATTGGTGACATCAAAGGAGGAAGCTTCATCCTAGCATCCATACCAACTCTTTCCACCAACTCTTCCAATTGACATGCCTAAACATAAACCAACACCTTCACCTAACTTGTAGTGCATCTGGATGCGAGAGAAATTGGAGCGTATTTGAGCATGTAAGAAGTAGATTTATTAGATTAATATATTCTATATTGTATTATTATTAGTATTTATTAATTAATCTAAATAACTTATCCGCAGATTCACTCCAAGAAAAGGAATAGGCTTGAGCTATCGCGTCTCAATGATCTAGTTTATATTAAATACAATAGAACATTGAGGCGACGTTATGAAGCTCGCGATACCATTGATCCAATTATGTTGGACAACATTAATGAGGCAAATGAATGGTTAACTGGAGCCCCCCAAAATCATGAAGATGACCAAGTGTATGAAGGAGATGATCTTGATTGGGGTACTGTTTCTATGGCCGTTGGAGTTGAGGAGAATATCTATGGACTTAGAGCGAATTCTTCAAGTTACAAGGGAAAGGGGGTAGCAAGTTCAAGCCGGTCCCTAATTGATGAAGAGTCCGAGGATGAAGAGGATGATAGCCAATATAATGCTAACATTCATGAAGTTGTAGAATTTGAAAATCTTGAAGAAGAATAGATGTTGCTTGTTTTAGAGTTAAGACTATTAGTCTTTAATTTATGAGTCTATGACTATCTATTGAGTCTTTAATTTTTGAATGATATATTTATTAATATATTATTGTTATTGAGTTTTTAGTTATATGTATATAATATTTTATGTTTTTGTATAAATTGTCGCTTCACATCAAAAAGGCGAGCGCTTCGCTGCGCGCCTCTCGCCTCAGTGAAGCGGGCCCTTGTCGCTATTTGTCGCCACGCGCTATCCAAAACACTGGGTTAGACCAAACACTTACCTCGATGCCACGAACACAATTCACGATTCAACTATAGCTTTACCCCTTGATTCCACCACCAATTCACTCGTATCTAGTCACAAGTTACTTAATTACGTCAATAAACGCTAAATGAATCAACCCTAATACATCAAAATGAATTTTCTAAAGTTCTACCCAAAAAGTCAAAAATCGCCCCTGGGCCTACATGGTCAAAACTCGAGGTTCGAACCAAAACCCGATTACCCATTCCCCCACGAACCCAAATATATAATTTGTTTTGAAATCGGACCTCAAATCGAGGTCCAAATCCCCAATTTTTGAAAAACCTAGGTTCTACCCAAAACACCCAATTTCCCCCATGAAAATCATTGATTTTGAGTTNATTCCTTTTTGTGCGGACCGCACTGGTCTGTTCAGAGGCCTTCCACCTCTCTGAACCTGCAACAACTATGTTTTTAATCCTAAGACATCCCGGAACCTACCCGAAACTCACCCGAGCCCTCGGAACTCCAAACCAAGTGTGCATACTAACTCAAAAACATCCTATGGACTTATTCGTGTAATCAAATCACCAAAATAACATCATGAACATCGAATTAAACCTCAAGATCAATGAAATTTCTCAAAACTTCTTTAAACATCAAATTTTGCATTTAAGGTCCGAAACACGTCGAATGGATTCCGTTTTTTACCAAACTTTACCGTCAACACATATTAATCATATTGAACTCGTACCGGGCTACGGAACCATAATACGAGCCCGATAACAATGGTTTCAAATATTAATCTTTTCTTTATTTCTTAGATAATTCAGTAAAACAATTTCTTTCAAAAATTGATTTCTAAGGCTTAGGACCTCGGAATTCATTTCCGGGCATACACCCAAGTCCCATATTTTACTGCGGACTTCCCGGGATCGTCGGAACATGGATCCGGGTCCGTTTGCTAAAAATGTTGACCAAACTCAATCATAATCAAATTTTTAACTCTAAAATTTCTATTTTTCATATTCACATAGAAGGCTTTCCGGATATAGGTCCGGACCACGCACGTAAATCAAGGTGGGGTAAAAGGGCGGTTTTTAGGCCTCGGAACACTGAATTCACTTGCAATACAAGTGATGACGTCATCACATGTAGCATGGCTGATATTGATTCCATGCTAAATTTCCTGACTTCTGTAAGCAACGTGTAATCAAAATCTGTTTTACGTGTAACTATCCTCCATCATCATTCAGTTAGTGCTTGGGCATTTTCATTATGATATGTTATTTCTCATAAGTTTCCGGTACTTGACTTTTATTTTGTAATAAAGGTTTGCTCGTTTGCTTTAAAAAAAGAAGCTTGTTTCCCTGATGGTTTAATCTTTTTTGGTCTTATTTTTTCTTTTTTTTTTGTGTTTTTTCCCTTAATTTACTGAGAAGAGAGGGAGTATTTATTTGGAAAATTTTCTGTCTCCGGTAGGTTTTATCTCAACGGAAGAAGATGCATCAACCTTTGACTCTACATAGGCACCCTTTATGTGCTGATGTAAGTTCCTCACGTTAAATTGGAATCAGCAATCATCTTCTGCTTTTGGGGAAAATTTCACATAAGAACAATTGGGATCTCTACATTTTAATGTTATAGCCATATTTCAATTTACAACCAACTAGCCCAAAAATAATAGGCTAAGACTCAACATCCAACTCCAATAAATTCATGAAATTACTATTTAATTTTAAAAAAAGATTGCTCGAGCTTTTAAGTTAATTTTCGAATCATCAATTGTAACTCAAACATTAGTTCAACAAACCAAATCCATTTGAATGGTGAAAATTAGAATTTTTACAAGCTTAAATATATGAGTTTAGATTCTGCATTTGATTTTGTGAGAAATTTGGAGTGGTGGTTATTTAGAATTGTTAGAAATAGCATAAGGAGGTTGCATAAAAATTTGAGGTCATTTAATGGAGATTTGGACTGGTTTTGAACAAGAATTGCAACTGAAAATCGTGGAAGAAGTTTGTCTACAAACGCTTGTATAAAGGTGTATAAGATGAGTTTATACACTCATATACACTATTATACAAAAAAATGATTTCGTCTTCTTCCTTAAGTCTTTTCTGAAATTTAACTCAAATCTTGCTCAAATTTACTCAAAATCACTTCAAATTTGAATTTTGAACTCCTTTTGATATATTCAATCAATTAGAACAACACCCCATCCAAACAACTAACAAACTCAAAAAAACCTATTTTCGAAAGCAAAACTTTGAATAGCCTTCAATGGCGGACGTCTACTCTTCAATTTTCTTACATTGCTCTTACATTGCAACCAGGTGACACAATGGGAGAAGCAGTAATGACGGACAACCCCTTGAAGCATATGTAGAAGATGTGAGAAGAAAATAGAGTGAAAGCAATGGTTGTGAGAACACAAATTTAACTCCATAGCTTTTAGCAGCAATGGTCGTAAGAACACAAATTTTGAATTTGCTAGTGCTTTCAAAATATGTACAATATGGGCTAGGTCGGGTAAAACGTAAAAACATGGGCCATTTTTTGTTTTGGTGTGATGCCAAGTGTATTTTTTTTGTAATTCTTTCGTGCTTTTGAAGCACCAATTGCTCAATTCATTATGTCAATTTGTGGTCCAACACTTGCTGGGGTGTTTTCATTCCCTTTTCTTTTTCCCTTTGTTCTTTTGTGAATAGCCACTTTACTTCGGAGCACTGCATTTTGCAGGTTTTCTAGGTAAAGTTCTAATATAGCATCTGTGTCAAGGAAATTAGTGTTTATAAGATGTATATACATTCCTTGTGGAAAATTGATTTTAATGGCTGTTTCTTTGCATGTTGTTATACGCATTGACATGACATGTAGTCTTGACGTCATGATGTAGATCATAATTGCTGATTAGTTCAAGGTTTATGTGGTGCAGATTATAGAGGAGTTCCAGAAGTGTCACACGGACCACCCACTAGGAAAATTCCTTGGGCAATGCACGGATCTGAAAATAAAGCTTGACCGGTGCTTCAGGCAAGAGGTAAGGTTTCTTGCTTTACCTGTAAGGAAATTGTAATGATTTTGAAAATTCATCGCTAATGTTCCCCGTGTATGAGCCGATAAAAGAGATAAGACGTCCTTTTGCAGAAAGCTATAAAGAGAAAAGCAAATTTTGAGCAGAGCAAGAAGTTGAAGGAGAGGCTCCAGGCTTACAGGAAGGAAACTGCTGGCATGCAATCTTGACAGTGATAGGAGGTTTGTTTTCGAGACACTGTTATGCATTTCAACTCATGAACGGAAGTTTAGCGGCTGGGGTTGATTGAGGAAAGATTCGTGAATAGAATTGCCGCTTGTCTATTCTGATGTTTTCTTCGATCTCCAGTATTTAAGTCAGTTGAAGTGAAATAATATGTATAGACACAAGAACTGATTGATTATAAGAGCTTCGTATCCGACCATTCCATTTGGGCGGAGGTGGATCTGGGATTTGAACTCTATAGGTTTGAGTTTGGAATTTTACCACAACTCATTTGATTTACTAGGTTCGAAATCTATTATTTGTGCTTGTTTAGCGAACTTTTCAACACATGTAAAGGGTCTGAGCCAAAACTATTGGGTTTAGATGAATTCATATCATATACACCACCACTGTATCTGCGTGCCCGGGAAATGTCAAAATAAAAGTACTGAATTGATTGTGTGAACTGATAAGTGCACTAATTTGGTCCTTTTGAGTTTTATCTAACATTTCTATTATCTGTTTTTGAGTTTTGGAACGACAGTAGTATGGGGAAAGAAAAAGCAAATGCGAAGGATAAAGCTGTGCATAAGTCAATATTTTCCTCCATTCCTGGATTATGATGAACAAGTCCACTGTAAATAAATTGGTCTACTGAAATTTGTAAGCCAAGTTTCTTTGGAATTTTGGAGCCTTGAGTGCATACTCAAAACTCTAAATTTGTGTCGAGGACCAGTTGGACGAACAATTGCCATAATTTGTTCCGCAAAAAGGTATTTTAAATTTTCATAGTTTTGGTAGGATGACCCAATGTGGTCTTAAATGGACTGTTGCTGTAAGTTAAATGTAAGTAGTACTCCGTCTGTACCTATGAAAATAAAAATGTGAGTAGTATTCTTCCTGTTGTGGAACACAAAGGGGGAAANGTTCCCTTTTAGAAGTTAACTGCTGGTAGTAACTAAGCAACCCGTATTAGGGGCGAATTGGGTTCGGCTTTTAAGATTTTAGCATTGATCAAAATTGTAATTTTAAAATTATGGTTTTTATCTACTATTTGTTACAATTTAAGTGAATGTTCACACCTAAAATTATGTTATGCATTAAAAGTACTGGATTCAGATGAATTCTGCCTTTGACCAATATTAATTCCTGGACTCTTGCTATGATATAAAAACAAATAAAAGATGTCAAAATGGCAACATAGTCACCCTCTACGTACAAAAATCAAAGGGCACCTAAGCACCATATATCGGACAGAGTTGTGGCCTGTGGGTCTCCTAATTGGTTACTCTAATGTTTTTTTTCCTTCAAATTTTATTTAAGGATGCTTTAGCATCTTTACCCTTGTCCAATTGATACAATTTGACATCATGTAAAACAAATATGAAATCCGTAACCCATCATTTCAAGAGTATAATGAATTTAATAATAAGAATATAATGAATTCAATAATACAAATATTGTTATAAATATATTATATTATGGATGTTCATTTAGTACTCCGTTGTAAATAATCTTCCTGAAGAAGCTTATCCATATGGGACTCCACCGTAAATATGTTTATCTATTTAGTACTCTATTGGAAATAAGCTTCCTGAAAAAGCTTATCACTTCGGTACCCGATTATGGATAAGCATTACCCTAGGTAGAAGATTATCCATATCTGGTATAGTAGCAGCTTACACAGCAGCTTGCAGTAGTAGCTTACACAGCAACTTGCGTAGCAGCTTACACATCAACTTCCTTTCTTCTATAAATAGAAGAGATTTCAGTTCATTATGTACATCAGTTTGAATTCGAATAATATTCAGTTTCTCTCTATACTTGTTTTTACTTTATAGTCTTTATTTTATAACACGTTATCAGCACGAGACTCTGACATCTCGAGCAAATACTGTGAAAGTATTAGAGGTAGGAACTTTCTTTTCCTAAATAATGTCAAATCTTTCTAAACTTGAATTTGTAGCCCTGGATATATCGGGCAAAAGCTACATGTCTTGGGTGCTTGATGCTGAAATTCATCTTGATGCGATGGGTCTGGCAGATACCATCAAAGACAAAAATCAGGCATCAAACCAAGACCGTGTCAAAGCAATGATATTCCTACGCCA